AGCTGGTCCCCACCGCTGGGGCCATCACAGCCCACATCTACTGGAGGGGCCGAGCGCACCAGGGGGTGGCAGGGGATGGCGCTGGAGGCCTCTCACTGTGGAACCCCAGCTCCCCTCAGCACCACGCTGCTCACTGACCGAGTAGAGCGCAGGGCCACACTCACTTGTCCCCCGTCTCCCACAGCCCTGTCCCAGGCACAGCCCAGACTGGGGCCGCATGAGGCAGGACAGGCGCCCTGGGGCCACGCTCACCTCTTCTGCTTGTACGTCAGCATGGCCTCAGAGATGGGGAGCTGGTGAGAGAGGCTGGCTCCAGCGATGAACTGGGCCACGCGGCCCGCAATGTCCACAGTGTCTGTGGGTGCAAAGAACCGTGAGGGCCTTGGTGGCAGCTGGGCTCCCCTTCGGGGCACTGCTGGCCCCGGGCTGGCCCCGCTCCTCACCTGCGATGGGTGGCTCAGCCCTGCTGCACAGCTCCCGCCACGCTGTGTCCAGGAAGAGAGTGCTGTATTTGTTGTCCACCGAGGCCAGGTACTTGGCAAGAGGGTGAGAGCCTGTGGGTGAGAAGGGAGACATTGGCTCCAGTCAGGGGAGTGCAGGGTGGTGGGGGAGGACAACCTTGGGACCAGGCTCGCGGTGGCTCTCACCCAGCGGCACGAGTAGGAAGCGAAGGTAGTTGAGCCAGTCGGGTGTCTTGCTGGCCAGCTGCTCCACGAAGAAGCGGAGGACAACGCTCAGGTAGCTCTGGTCCCCCGCCACCACCACCTTCACCGGGGGAGGCATGTGGGAGTTACAGTTGCAGCTGCCAAAGGGAGAAAAGGAGACCATGAGGGACATGCTCAGCAGGTGGGTCAGGGGGCAGAGGACGTGCCCTGCCAGGCCAGCCAACCCAGCATCAGAAACCCATTGCTGACAATTTCCAGCTTGCTGAGCACTGCCGTGGGCACAACCAGCACTGGGATCCCCTGCTTACAATCCCAAAGGGTCCTAACGAGCCCTGGGGGAGCCAGGACCCTTCCCAGCCCTTCTCTGCAGTCACAGGGAGCCACCAGACTGAGCCCAAGCTGTACTCACTATCGCTGGATGCGGGAGACAGTCGTGTTGAAGGCTGCCTGGATGTCCGCCACGGAGCAGGTGGATACGACCAACTGCTTGTGCGCCTGGAGCTGCTCACTCACGTACTGCCAATGCAAAGAGCTCAGGTTAAGGCACCCCAGGGGGGCACGGCCATGCTGGCCAGCACCAGCCCCCGCCTGCCCTGGCCCCTGTGGCCCCTGGGATACAACTGGGGCCCCTGTCTCCACCCATGCCATGCCCAGTGGCTTGAAACCATCAGGTCACCGCCGGCTGCGTGCCTGAGCATCCTCGCTCCTCCCAGCTCTGCTCCAGGGGGCTGGCTGCCCTAGCCCCCTGCTCGCGCCTTTGAGCACAGCAGTCACCACCCTGCTATGGCAAAGGCAAAACTGTCCCAAGAACCTTCTTGACATAAAGGGTTTGGTCCAGGGACCCTCCGATTTAAATCCTGCCATCCCACAGCAGGGTCCAGTTCTAGGCTCAGTCCCCCTCTGCTCATTCCCTTCTCTTGCTTTCTCCCACTGTGGCACTCCAAAATCCTTCTGTGTCTCTTCAGGTGTCTGTGTGCAGCTGAAGAGTGGTAAAACAGGCAGTTGTGATAGACAAGGGGAGTTAGATGATGCCATTACAGGGTCTGGAAATGGGCATTGCTCCTTTTTCCCTGTCAGGACAAGAGCTAGAGCAGAAACACGCCAAGGAAGTGAGGCTTGGGTCGAAACTCCACCACATCTCACTGAGAAGCCCTTTCTTCTGCCACAAACCCTGCCTTGATTTTCCAGCACTGTTTCTGGCTGTCAGATGTAGCTGCAGTATCCCAAAGGGATCTCACCAGTGGTTTATATAACTGCTGTTTGCACACACATATGTGACCCTACTCACCTTCAGCAGTCAACTCCTCCATGCATGGGGGAGGCAGGTGCTTGTCAGGGGCTGGGCCCATCCTCACATGGACATGATGGTGACCAGCATGAGGCAGGAAGGCCTCAC